CGGTAATTTGAGTTTCTAATTTGTTTGAAACTATAGACTTAGTATTTTGACTTCACAAACATCTAATTTGATGCATTCAACATACCACGTGATACACAAAAATCGATGTTTATCAGTATTTTAATAATCACTTTTAAATTAACAAATTGAGTAATGTACAGTTCTAAAATTTGGATTATAATCTATAGTTTGATACCAAACTTAATTGCCATAAATTCATGAAATAGTAGTTCAATAAAATTTTGAATGTGAGTTAACAAACGAGACGAGATGGCCTTTCACCTGTGACCCGTATCAAAAGGGTTAAAAAGTTGTTAATTTTCATAACAATTGGTAATTGGGTCCTTCATGTTGTTGCCAGTGCTTTGTATATGATGCGAAAAGAACCAAACGAATGCTTTTCTGTGGAGGCTGGGTGTCTTTCCTTTGATCAGTCTGTCATACAACAGTACTGCTGGTTGCTCTTTCAAATGGTTCTGCATCAGGAAGACTATCTGGTTCTTTCAAAGTAGTATCAAAGATACTATTCCTTAAGACAAATTTCACTTCTTCTGGTTATGGATGATTGTCTTCCTACCAAATTAAACCATAGTTTGGATCCAGAACACCAACCGTGTTGCCATAAGACTCCTTTCACAAACAAAATCTGTGTAGGAAGTGATTTGCAACTTCTGCCGGAGATGGTGTTGAGACCCGAACAGTTAGTACCAGTATCTCTTAATTTGATCTCAAGATCCTATCACTGATTATTAAGATATTTTGAAGTAAATAGTTGTTACATGAATGTTTTAGTTGCTTGAAAAGCCGTGGCAATAATAACAAGCATTTGTAATTGGCTTACTCAGTTAGACTTCTTTTAATGCTTGTAGATTTAGTGCATTATATTTACCCAAACTCAGAGGATTGGGGACCTTCATCCATAAATAAAACTTGTGAAATCTACTGATCTATGTCTCTGGCTTGCTCTACTTTATAAGCAAAATAGCATTTTTTTAAATTCAAGCTCTATTTTTACACAATTTTTTTGTCATACTGGGAGGTCTGCAGATGGTTGAAGTATATCGGCTTAACTATCTCACTGTGAGGTCTGTCGATTCAGCTGGCCTTGTAACCGTTTTGTACTTGTTATACTTTTGATACTATAACTTTTAACATAGTATGTGTATCTTCACAAAATTTGGCATACTTTTAACATTACAAATCTTTTGTACACAAAAAATTGAATTTTTTTAATAAAGTATTTTTGCTAAAGATTTCTTCAAGATTTATCCATGAATATGTATATATATAGTTCTTTTTTTACTGGTCCAAGTGTAAAGTGATTTCTACATTAAGATTAAAAATACTTTTCTTTGTCTCAAAAATCTCAAATTTCCTTTCCTTAATTTCAAAAAAATCCTAAATAAATTTCAAGCATTTTTTTTTCAGTAAAACTTTATCTGTTATATTGTCTACCCTAACTCTATAAAAAGTTTCTCAATTTGATCAATCTCATAACCATTAAAAAAGAATACAAAATAAATCTAAATTACCCTTCTGATTTCAAATTGTAACATGAAACTGTATCTGTTTATCTTATATAGCTCTAAACTCGTAACGGTATACATTTGTTTATACTTAAATTTTATTGTTTTATTGCCCTTTGAGCTTGTCTAACTAATACTTGCACAATTGTAAGTTGTTTATGTTGAATGCTCATTATTCATGTTGATTTGTTAGAAAGGTTTGTTTTTTTATTATTATTACTTATAACTTCTGTGATATAACAGAATATATAACAGCAAAATACAGTTGAAAGAGTTGAAAATTTGTATTGGAATATCCACACGATATTTTCTATTTACTGACCTAGAATACGGTGAAAAGGCTCAAGAGTGCTATTTAAGTCTCTTTCAGAGTGCATATGTACATTTTGTTCATGATAAAATTTCATTTTTCTGCTTAGTTTTTACTAAAAATGTGTTTTTTAAAGAATTACTTCCACACTGATGAAATATGTGAAGAGTAGGTGCATTTTGGAAGTACAGACAAATTGGTTTTAGTTAAATTCTATAATTTTCATTAATCATTCAACAATGTTTTCCCCTCATTTTTGATGCACTTTTATAGTAGTTCAGGATATTTTTTTAATATTGCCTTATAACATTAAGAACTTAAAACTTGTATACTATTAAAATTGGTTTATTAGCTATGTTTTTATGCTATATTTATTGGTATACCATGAAAAGAAATTAGTTTAATTAAACTTGGAAAGTAACTCACTAAAACCTCATGACACCTCAAGTGCAGAAAAAAAATGCAAGTGGAGAGAGAGGGTTAAAAAGTAGACAAACCTTACTGAAAACCAGCTAAGCTTCAAAGTAATATAAACAAATTTTTTTTATCTTTACAATTTTTAAAAAAGTAGGATGGTAGTTCCGCATTTGGAGATTGAACAGTGCTTTGAGAAATAATTCACAACTGATTAGTCCTGAGAATACTTACTACATACTTTCTGTTGTTTTTTTTCTTTTTTGTTGTTGATACTGGATATAAATTATTTTTGTTTGATAGTTATAGAAATATTTTTTTCAAAAAGAATTCAGTATGGATATTTAATTAAGGTTAATGAGTATGGAGGCCTGAAGGGTTGACCATAGGGTTTTGATTATAAATTATTTATCCTACAGAATTGATCTGTACCTTTTTACATAATTGCTTCAGTGGAACGAAAACACAAAATAAAGTACCAAAAATAAATGTTACTTAACATAGAATGACCTAAATTTTATTGAATATGTAAAATAGAAGTTTCTGATCCATAATAACAAAAAAAAAGTTGTTTTTTTCTTTCAAATTATTTTTTATAGTATTTTTCATTATGAATGTCATTGATTGTGTGTACATTTCATATGGAATTATTAAAATAAAAAAAATATTTAATAAATTTACAATGAAATATTTATTTTATGAAACTTTTGTAGAAGATTGATAAATTTCATAAGTTAAAAATTGATACAAATTCTAAATTGTTTTTAGATAGAAAATTTTCAAGTTTCATGCAATTTCATTTAGTAGTTCTTGTTTGTGATCTCAAAATATTTGGTTTATTGAATCTGAGCACAACTTCACTGTGAAAGGTTTAATTGTGTCAAGTTTTGTAAACGATGCTACTTAAGAATCATGTTTCAATCGTGAAACCGATACACTGAAGATAAAGATCCATTATTCCCTGAACCATTCAGCTAGACTTCTCCATAGCCTCAGTGGAAGAGTATAAGTAAGTCTATGATATTCAGAGCTTCACAGCTGTTAATATGTGTTCCTCTTTATACAGCAGCTTAGAACTTTTGCAGTATACATATAAAGATGAATGTTTTGAATTTTTAATGGTATATATTTTTTCATATCTAAATGTGGTTAATGGTAAAAGTATATATCATACTGAAAACCACAGTAACTAAGAGGTGAATAAAACAAGTGCTAGCACTGGTGTGAAGTTCAGACAACTGTAATAACTTTTTGTAGTGAAAAAGCATAAATATTAAAATTGTATTATAAAACAAGAATGATGATAAATGTATATAATAGTGTTTTTTGAGATTAGTATTATAAATGAAAAATAAAGTTTGTGTATTTCCTATCAGTGGTTGGTATAAAATTGTGAAGGATCTGACTTTTCCAACTTAATTAGGCAATGCAATATTGTCTTAAATACATGTAAAAAAAGGTGGTTAAAGTCTTGTTGAAAACAATTCTTCAGTGTGGTTGAAAAATACAGGTCTATTATTAATGCTGCACTCTGGAAAATTGAAAATTGTTTATTTCATGCTACTGATTAGTTAAGGATACATTTAAAAACCTTAAAAACAACATGCATATCCACATCAGGAAGTACGTAGAAAAGAAAGGATTGAAAAGATAACTTATAGTCAGATCACAAAACCTTGAGAGTACAAGTCCTGCAACTATGACAATCTTGTGTACCCAATGAAACAGGGACAGGTTTCTATAAAACAGCTATTGTTATTTTGGTCACAATATGATACTAACGTGAAAGGAAAAAAATAACATGACATTAAATTGGGATTTTGTTGCTATGATAACAATAATCAATAAAATGGAATAGTTTGAGTTTATAATGTAAGTAATAAAGTACTTATGTGTTATGGGTGTAAATAGTTGTTAAGCAGGGTTAGAGAATATTAAATTTCTCTATGTTCAAAGTTGTGCTGTAGGTTAGATTTGGGCATTCTAATGATATTCAGAAGACAAGAGTGACTAAAATAACCTAGGTGAGTATAATATATAGACTATTGGCCTAATAAACATAGTATGTATATTGTGATTCTACTAGTTATTGTTTTATTAGACAGGTATGAAAAGTGATGTAATATAAGTGACTTATGAAATACTGAGTCAATGAAAACAACATTTCTAACCTTTATATTTTATTTTTCAGACATACACATTCCTTGGAAAGCTGAAACAGTTGAAAAAGCTAAGACTTGAAAGGGGTGGTCAGCTATATGATTCCAGTTTAAAGAATGCTTTAAAAAGTTTGACACAGTAAGAAGAAAGTTTTAACAACCATTAGCATTGTTTTCCATTTTTAATTGTATGATAATTTTGTTTTCACTTTAAATATCTAGAAACAGTTACAAGAGTTTCTGCTATATAACATATAAAAAAAATTGAGAAGTTTTGTTTGAATTTAGTTTATGACTTTCCATTTTAGTATATGTGCATTTACCAAGTATTAGAAAAAAGAAAATTAAGAATTTCTAAGCTGTCTTTATAAAATGATTATTGCTTAAGAAACAATATTGATGGATGATGAGTAAGGTTTAAATTGACCCAAGCTATTTTGGACAAGATGGCTGTAAAAGTAGTGCAAGTTAAAGTCAGAATTTTGTACATAAGTGAAAAAGAATTCCAGCAAATAATATTTAGTGTGTTTCTTTCTGTACATGATAATGGTCCTTGGTTGAAGGAAGAACATTGTTTTTGGATTTTATAAACATAAAATTTGTTCAAGACATGTAATAATTTGTCATCTAGTGATCTTAAATTTCTGTAGATACCTTGTATGCCTGATATTTACCTATAAAATTAAATTTAATACTTAAAAGGTTGGAAGACCTCCAGTTGCTTTGTTTTGTGATACCAACAAGCCTTGGAGCTGGGCTACAGAAGTTAAAACGTCTGAATCGACTTGTTATGTGGCCTGACACGTACAAGCATGTAAGTAGTATTTGATGATAAATTAATATTTTTATAAATCAAATTCTACACTTCCATAGATAAAAAATATATGTTTCAGTTTTTTTAAAGATATCATTAAGTCAAAAACCAAGTTTAATATGGTTTAATATTAAAACCTATCAAAATAATATTTACTGAACAACACCTTTTTTTTAATATCCTATGTTCATCTACATTACTCAGTGTACTCGCTTGTAGTATGCCACAGCTTAACAAATCATTTTCAAAAAATGTGTAGGAGAAACATTACAGTTCATTGAAAATATTTAGAAAATAAACAAAATCCAATATAAACCCATTAGAGATTGGCTTTACCACTAATTACAAGTTTGTACTTATAATTTGTATAAAGTGGTTCATCATTCTTTTGAGTTACAGTTATAACAATTTTGTTAAATTTTATTCATTAAACAGGTAGTTTTGTTCCATTTTGTTTTTATTTCTTCAATTGTTGTTCTCTGTTTAATCTACAGTATGTATTATTTGTCTGTTCATTTATTGAAGCCATATGACAATTTTTTTTTTTTTGAGGGAAAAATTTGACTTGTTTGTATGAATGAGTTTGAATTTCAATATTCTACTCAATAATGGTTTTAATATTGTAGTTTAAATCTGTTTACTTATTGACAAAATGGGTCAATTTTGTTTTGGTAGTGTGTTTTGCTTCAGATATTTGTTTCTGTTATTCAGATATTTTCTTTTCTTTGAGTAATAGACAGTGTCATTATCTGAATACTTAATAAACACAAGGTAGATACTTTTGTTGAAAGAGTGAATTTTGTAAAGTATCTTTTTTTTTTGTTCAGGCTATAAACATTTTGTACAATTTAAATCTGTATATTATTACTATTAAATTTATATAAGGTACTCACAAGTTTCTGAATAGTATTTAGAGCAGTATTTATGGTCTTTGGAAAGTTTTATCTCAGATAGAAATTCTCTATTCTGATGTCATCCTATTTAGTAGTTAAGTAGAAACAACGTCTAAAAAAAATTATTGTATTGGTACATGTCATCTTTAATTCTTGATAAGTATTATTTATAGGCACTCAAATTGAAGTTATAAATACCACGCTCGTTGCTTGTAACTTGAAATATTAACTTCATTAAGTAACACTAATATATTTGATGACATTCTCAGATTTAATAATAACTCCAATTGGTTACTATAATAATACTGAAATTATATCCTGTCATCTCTAATGATTTTCAAAGTTCATGCAAGTTTTATAGTTACTATTTGAAACATTCAAAAATGCATTAATGAGTTTATGGTAAGGGGAAATCATTGTCATTTTCCCTGGTTCTAAGACTAATATTAGAACTGAAAACGTAAAGCAATCAGCATAAACAGTGTCATAGCTAACATATTTTTTCGAACAAGTAAATGTTTCTTGGTTTAGTACAACATCAATACTAAACTAACAAAGTAAAATATTTATATTGATGTAGAATCATGACATTAAATTAGTGACATTTCATCCTCAATTATGGTAAGTTACTTCTTCACCAGAAATGTTAAACACAACCGTGCCACTGGGAAAATATTGTCCATAATGTCTTGACTGTTTCATCTTAACTCGTTATCTGAGTGTATAAATGATAAAACGATTACCTTTAGCCTTGTCATTTAAGGATATTAATATTGAAACTGTAGGGCTTGAAGTTGTTTTTTTAATTTGACCACCAAAAGTTGTCTGTGACACAATGTTGACCAGCAAACTTTTAAACTCGCATGGTAACAATGTTTTTTGTAGAAAGAATATGTAACAAAATTAAACATTTAAGTGAAAAAGTAAACAAAGTAAAAATGTTTTGTGAATAAATAAGTCAGTCTAAAACCATTGTAATATTAATATAGTTTTACAAAGTATACAGCAATCGTACATACTAATGTACATTTTAATGAATTGATTTTTTCTTAAAGAAATGAAAATGCCTTTTGTTGGACCATTTTGGATTTTAGTTAAAGTTTTTTTTAAATTGATTAAATTTATTTTTCAAGCACATTTCCTTCTTTATGTTAGAGTGTTTGTATCAGTATTGATTTAAAGAAATTAGTAGGTTTGAACATCCTTTATATCTACCCTTGCTATTATCTTTTAAATAACTAGAATTGAATATCGGGCCGATTCCAGATTAGTCTGTATTTTAATCTTTATGATTTTATTTCATGATCTGTATGCTTTTTGTGCTGCTTAGTTTTACAAGATGCAATATAAATCTTTAAAAATAATACACCTTAAAACCTTCAAATTCATAAAATTTTCTTTATCTTCTAGGCTCCTGTGGTAAACCAAAATACATTAAAGGCTGTATCGTCCCTTACGAAACTGCAGCGTTTCAGTTGGGGAGTAATGACTTCATCATCAGAGCTTTCAGAAATGCCAAATGGGGAAACAGATGAGGAAAAATTACATAATAAAAAGGAGATTAAGATGATTTCTTTGTTAAGACACAAGGAAAACTGTAAATGCTCACAGGCTGAAGAAGGCAGCAGCAGCAACATTGAACCAGAGTGTACGGTAATGGTTCATCCTAATGAACTTGAGCAACGGCTGAGCAAGTTATTTCCAAAGACCAAAATTGAGGTTTTTAGGGTGCCAATAGAATCGTTTAATAAGTTTTGTGGTGCTTTCAGATGAGTTTCTACAGAAGACAAGACTGTCATCACTAAAATGGAGGGGGTGTAGGTAATAATTTAGTAAATGGGTTATATTCTATAAAAAAAAAAGGTTTTGAACAGTTGTTTCTGAAGATTTTATTGTTTACAGGAAAATGTACTGAAATTGTGTTTTTCTTGTACAAACTGCAGTGAAAACATTTCAGAATCAGTGTGAAAAGTTAAGTTTTAGTCCATGTGTATGAACGTTTTAATTTTTCATGACATGTCAATACGTGTGAGAACATCATTCACTGTTTTGCACCATTTATTGAAGCATTTTATTGGTGAAGTGAAGCCTTTTTAGTTGACAGTTATTCATTAACTATTTTAAAAACGTGCAGTTTCATTGAATAAAATCTTGAATGGTTCATAGAACAAATCAATTAGTTTATTTTATTACATTCTTGTAAACTGTATTGATGTACAAAACAAAATGTTACACATAGTTGCTTACTTCGTACCCTTTGTTGAAATCTAAAGTTATACATTACTGCTTTTTCTTATGTTTCTGAACTTTTTTTTGTGCTATTACCAATATGCTAGTATCCTTCTCTTATTTCATCAGAATAAATATAACAGACTTCTTGTTGGAATTGAACAAGAGTCACATTGTGTACTCTGTTGGGTATAGAACTCATTAGAAACTAAATATTAATACGGAAAAAGAAATCCTATGGTATAACAGTTACAATTCCTTAGATTTTAAACAATAATAAAACAGCCTTTCACCTTTATACAAAAGAAATTAAGCAGGAAAATACAAGAAACTTCACAACTTAGAGGTGCAATGGTTGCATTTTTCAGCCATGTATAGCAGAACATATCATACACTCCATGGACTTTTAAGTAACAGCAGCATATTAATTAAACACTACAACTGTAATCAGATGTATTTATAATGTAATATTATAACTTCAGTTAGTGGTAAGCAGGAGGACACTATTCACCAAAAAGAATTTGTCATCGTAGTGTAAGATAGTTGTGAAATCTGCTATTCATGTGCCCTAAGCATGTTATGTTTAGGATACAGGGGCTGAAATAGATTTGATGATAACAAAATTTACTAATATTTTTGTATATCTTGAAACTGCAAATAAAATTTCGAACATATGTTTCAAGTAACTACTTGACTTCACGTATAACTTAAGTTTCAGAGACTATAAAAATGTTTTGAACATCCTATCACTTTAGCAAAGCTCAAGTTCCGTAGGTCATCTGTTATGTGTTCGGTAAGTTAGTATTAATTCTTTGACCATGTCGAAGTGTGCTTACTGAAATTTCTAATAATAAACTTATATATTTATATAAACTATTCATATACAAACTAGCATCAACCTTGAAAGAATTGAGTCAGGTCTCTACCACTATGTGATTTATAAATTCTGTCATTATACTGCTATCTAAAGTAGGGGTTACCTTCTGTAGAAACTGAACCAACAGCTTATGATCTGGAAACTGTTAGTTATCACTGCATCTTCTACAGGCCTAACAGAAGTTTTGCTTTGAGCTTGAAACTGCATTGTTTTTAAATGCTTGATTTGCATGTAATATAATAGCTACTAAAATTTAACATTTTTGCATGAAAGCAATTATTTTTGTTCTTTCATTCAGCTCTTGTTTATTTAGTAAATAAATGTGTGTATAAGCTCAGTTTCTTAGTTTTGGATGTAGGTGTGTACAGTTAGTATCATTATGAAAATTAACTTACCTATTTAATTTATAAGCACACTAATAATGGAAAAAAAGAAACAGACCAATATAATCAGGGTTATTTACTTTATTTCATATTTGTATGGAAATGTATGTAGAGAATGGTCTTTTAAAAGTCTTTTATTTAAAATGTCTTTACAAAATATTTGCTAATTATTTCATTACGTAGTTTCGTAAATGATATTTTATTTAAAATTTCAGTGCAAACAGATTTGGTAAATAATTATTTTATTTCACAGTTCCCATCTTTTTTTATATTGTTAATCTGCAAAAGCTATTTAAGAGGGTGTGTATTTGTGAAAACAAACAATTTGTAAGATATTTTCTGTGTGTTATTAATTTTTAGAATATAGCTTTAAGTGAACATGTATCATTTGCCAGATAAAATCATTAAAAACATTAATACATAAAACATGGCCTTTCAAGAATTCCAGTACACTTGTACTTTGTATAAAGTATTGTCATCATAGAATAGATTGTTAAAAAACAAATGATGGTAAAAGTCATTTATCGAACCACTAATTCATAACCAGCTATTGGACTATTTTAAAAGTTAAAAAATTTTCCGTAAAACAAGTGTAGGTAATAAAATAACCCATTCTGGTTAAAGGTAGTTGTCTTACTAATAGTTTCATTGACATTACGAGCCAAGATTGACTTTGCCTAAATGTAAACAGGTGTCACATTTGTTAGGTGCTAAACTTCTACATGGTATTGTATTAGTGTAACTGATATAATGTTTTAACATCAGTTTACTTTAGGCATGATATTCATAAATGAAACGTAACAGTGTGGCTTATGTTTCTCTCTCTCTTACACTTATGAGTAGATGGCTGAAAGTGTAGTGTGAAATGCATTCATTTTTATCTCAAATTCAAAAGCCAGACAGTTTTTTTTTTATAGAAATACTAATTTGTTTTAAATGCAAAATTAAGGTTTAAATGTTCTCTTCCAAATCTTAAAGTTTAAACCTATATGAACAGCTGTTTGTGGGAAATGATCAACACAAAGAAACTATATGACAGCTATAAACTTTACAGAGCACAACATCTTGGTTGCCACATTGTTTGTGAAAAATCTAAAAAACAATGTATATTGTTTGAAAGAATAAAAAAACATATAACAGGTTTTCAGCATGTTGTTTAAAAATCTTCCCTTCAATTGGTTATACAAGAAATAGGATTTACATTACAAAGATATTTCTAACAGAATTCCAGGACTTTCTGTAGTGTAATTTTCCTTTAATGATACAATTGATAGTCCAAGTTGTATTTATATTACAACTTAAAACTTCCAAGGCAGTTTCATTGTATTAGTTCCTGCTTTAGAGTGAGCAACAAACTAAACAGATATAGGACTTTGTGTTAGTGTACTGTTTGACACTTCAAGTTGTAAAATGCTTTTTTTTTGTCTTGCATTCTTTTTTTTTAAATCTTATTACCTACACAAAGAAAGGGACCACCAGTTGGTATTTTCAGTGATGTTTCTGTTGTCAGGAGTGCATTTTTCACAGCAATCAAACCATAGCATGTAAAGTAGAAAGATAAAAATGTGTTTAAAAGTTATCATGGTTCGTGACTGGCTGTTGGATGAAAATACGTTCTACAGTTACAGCAATCGCGATTCTGAAGAATAGTTAAAACCACCATCTACAGATGTTATCTGAATAATAGCAACACAGTTTAAAATACAATTATGTTATATTCACTCAACAAAACTATATGGCTCACTTTAGTGTTTGTGTGGAGAGAACAAACGTCAGTTGATAACTTTTATGATTAGCTACAGGTAAGCGGTCCAGTTTGATCATTAGCTCTAAAGATTTTAGAACTTTTCATTTTTGAAATCCCTATTTTATGAAATAAAGAGGGAGACTACTCTTTTATAAAGGGGGTTGAAGTTACACAATGTAGCTATGCTTGATGTGTGAAATATTCTTTACTGATCAGCTATTGTTTTAAGATTTGAATGGATCTTGTAGTATTTGTCAATGAGTTAAGTTAATGTTGTGATATACTGTATAGTAAATAACAGTTAAGTGCGTCTGTATTGAATTTTGTTGAAACATTAAACTCTGAACTCTGAATCACTTTTTCTCTGTTTCATTGGCTAAACTTCCAATTTGTTGTTGTGATGAGAACTTCAATATGATAACCACTGACTTGATGTTAGGCAGCAATTATTAATCATAAGATTGTAAATTTAACATTGCGTAATAACTACATGCTTACTATTTACTTGTTACATGGTGGAACCTTTTTTAGTTGAAATACTTAACTTGTACTAGGCTAAATGGGTAAAATAACTGATGTTGATGAATAATGGGTGGAGACGGCTTGAATGGGTAATGAAGAAAAACTTGTAGTAAAGTTTTTCTTCATTACCCATTCATGCCGTCTCCAGCCATTATTAGTCTCAAAGTGGGTTCCTCGTCATCGAATTTGATGTTGATGAAATTTAGTTTTTGAGAACCATACTTGATATACATAATTTCAATAAACATGAATACAACATGCACTAACATGAGCTAATCATAAGAGCAAAAGTATGCTCGTATGAAGGTTTTAAAAACTACATAAAAAGTAACATTATTTTCAGGCTCTAGTAAAATACAAGAAGACCTCACAAAACCCTATCAGTCCAGGTTGTCAACTTACTGTCATGGCAGATAATGTCCGTAGTAATATATATATATATCATAAAATACAAATTTTACGTGTCATCAGAAGTCTAGCTTCGTAATAATTTCACTGATACATTAATTTCTTGTTTCCTCTTAAATATATGTAATTCAAAACTAATGAGTAAAATGTAAAAACCACCTGATGGTACCAACATGTATATAAACAAACTTCTAGTAATAATGTATCCAAACTGTTTACTGGGTCTGTGGCAAGTATGTCCTAAAACATCATTAACAGCTATGATATCAAATGGATGAAACAATGTCATTATCTGTTACGACTTTAAGATGAAAACTACGATTGACAATGTATTCTTTACTGAAATCTTCTTAATGCTTATTTTTATATTAAGTTCATTATTGTTTTATAGCAGTGGTGTCTAACACAGTACCCACTCGCCACAAGTGGCAAAACTGCTATTAACCTGTGGCAAATTGGTGCTTTACTTCTTTCACCTATTTTTTTAAATATAGTTTTTAATAAAATTTATTTATACATGTACCAGTTTAATAAAGTGTCCACTTTATTTATTTTGAGGATAAAATACTGTAGAAACTTTACTGCAATATTCTATCAAATAATTGAAAACATTATTGTGTATTTTTGTACCCCTCTATATCTATAATTAATTTAAAAAAATGTTTTTTTGTCATGTGGCAAAAATGTTAACACATTCTCCACAGTTTTGGAGATTATGATAAAAACTGTTGGACACTGCTGTTTTATAGTGCTGATTGTAATTTCCTATTAACAATTCATGTAATTAATAGTATGGAAGCTACTTATTTCATTATATATATCAATATAGTATAACATTTTATTATTTAAGTTTCAGTATAAAAAAAGTTGAAACAATAATTCAAACAAATAGTATCATAAAAAGTAAACAATTAGAAGTGCAATTTAAAATTATATTTTCAGTTGATTTTTTCCTGAAATATTATTATCACTAAATATGTAATTGAAAATATAACTGTTACAAACAAAACATGTTCTTTAATAATTAACACCCAGTCAGGGAGACAGTTTTGGTGGGTACATTTTCAAACACAGCTTTACAATAATATCTTTTTTTAAATTCTGAATAGAGATTTGAACTTGCAATATTTGAAATCTGAATTGTCCACCATCATGGCTGAATTCAGACTAGTTTCCAGCCTTTAATAAGATATTAAAGCGTATACTCCCATGTAAAATTCCACACACACATTATGGCAGTGGCTGCAAATGTGGCACAATACAAAATCTGATTTTCCAGCTCCATGGTTTTCCAGCTCCATGGTTTTCACAAATTCTCCCAAAAGATATGGCTGAGGAAGGCTCAACAAAGCTTACTTGTCACTATAATGTAGCTAAGTGTGGTACTTGTCTGAAGTGTAGTAGGTGTGATTGTACTGTTGATCATTATCTAATGAGGAATTCTTAGAGTAATATAAAAATGTTTGATATTACCGAGTTTCCTAGTTCCCTTTTGCAACAATGCATACATCACCAATGTTTGCAAAAGCACTACTGCAGCATGTCCAGTCATCATTGTCTTTTTTGTGATGGTTTCTGTGCAGAATGTCAGAAATACTCATCAAGTCAGCTGCAGGAGATAGTATGGTGTGAAATATGAGACACTAGTATTAGGTCAAGAAATTAATGTCATTTTTTTTTAGATGAAAAAACCCGAACAACTTATACATCAGAACAAAACATTTATTAAAAGAAATCATCTCCATTCTTATTGATGATGCTTTCCATCTTACAATCAGTTGTTAATGCCTGATTAAAGAAATCACTTGGCTTTGAAGCAAAAAAACATGTCGATGTCCTCTTTAAGACCTTCCACATTTGCATATGTTTTCCCATTAAGATGGTGTTGCAGCAAATGAAAAATATGGTAATTTGATGGTGCCATATCTGGAGAATATGGTAGGTGGGCTAGAACTTCCCAACCTAAATCCATAATCTTGTGTTGCGGCAAGCGTACCACATGTGGACGTGCATTGTCATTGAGAAGAACACCTTTCCGATTGACGAGTGAAAGGCTTGATTTAAACATTCCAGTTGCTGACTATAGATCTCTGCATTTGCTGTGGATTGAGGAGTTCGAAATGAATTATTCCTTTTATGTCCCACCAAACGCAAAGCATCACTTTCTGCAGATGGAGTCCAGGTTTTTTGGGTCGGAAGTGGTTTTGTCTAGGACTGAGCCATTGTTTTTGGCATTTAATATTTGCATAGAGAATCCAATTTTCATCACCTGTGACAATTCTGCTCAAAAATGGTTCATGCTCATTACATGCCAGAAGAGAGAATGCAACGTTCGCACGTTGAAAACAATGATCATTGGAGAGTTTGTGAGGCACCCAAACACCTTCTTTATGGAGTTTTATCATATTCCTTAGATGTTTACATATTATTTCATGAGAGACATGCAATTTCAGGGCCATTTCACGAGCGTGTTGTCTTGGGTTAGACTCAACAAGCATCTTCAGAGCATCAATATTAATTCCAACATGTCAGCCCCTG